ATCACAACTGTTACACACACACACACACACACAAGCACAAGCAGATCCACATGCAGCTCTGCCCAGAGATTCAGATCGCCAGCTTCAAAATCCCATCTGGAAAGACTTAACTGTCTCTCTGTGTGTGTGTATGTGCGTCTCTCTCACTCTCTTTCTCCTCCCTCTCTCTCTCTCTCTCTCTCTCTCTCTCACCCTCTCTGCTCCGGTCTTTCTCTCATTTTCGCTCTGTCTGCAGGTTCAATCAGGACACCTAAATATGTGGAGAATCCTTGTGTTTCTGGAGATCCTGTCACCTGTGCTCTGAAGAACAGGAAGAAGAGCAATACTGGTGAGTACTTCTGTGCGTGTGTGTGTGTGTGTGTGTGGACCAGTCGGTCTGTTATGAAATGTATTCTTTTTATGAATGTTTGCATTTGTAGTTTCATTGATTTATCTGTGGGTCAGGTTTTGTTACGTTGTGGGTACCATATATCCTCACTAAAGAGATAACCAGACATAACCTACGTTTTATGAATAAATAAATATTAAATGCTTCCTCAATATAAAAACCATAGAAGTCGATGGAAAGTCCCCACAGTCTTTGAGTGAAATTTGCCCTTGTCGTAAGCTGAGGGATGGTGTTTTTAAGATGTGGGGAGTTACATAAATTTACAGCTGAGAGTTCAGTAAATCCAGCAGTCCATTAAACCACATTCCTCCCTCCCTCTTTTTTACTTGGTAAACTTCTGTCTTCTTGCGCCAATCTTTTCTCCTACTTGCAATTCATTTTCTCTGTAGAATGCTGATCTGTGCTTGTATGTGTTGGTGCGCTCAGTGAATTACTCAATCTGTCATTTTTGGTGATGTGATGCTGTGTAAGCCACTTAGGATGGCAGATTTCAGCTCTGCATTGTAAAATTTAATTGGAATATGTGTGAAATCTGGAGGCTTACAGGTGGGCATACAAAGAAATGGTCACAAAATGTTCCTGTTAGATGTATTCACACATCAAATTTAATTCCAAATGTTTGAGACTACTAGTGAACATGTTTTTATTCATTTTGTTTTTTTCCCCCTAAAAGGCTGTATTTATATGATCAAAAATATTGTTATATATTTTTACATTTTAAAATAACTTTTCTATTTTAATATATTTTACAATGTAACTTATTCCTGTGATGGCAAAGCTGAATTTTCAGCAGTCTTCAGTGTCACATGATCCTTCAGAAATATTTCCAATATGCTGATTTGATGCTGAAGAAGCATGTTTTATTATCAATGTTGAAAACAGTAATGTTGCGTAATATTTTTGTGGAAACCATGATAGCATGGTTCAGCACTTCAGAAGAATTTGAAATACTTATTTTTTTTTGTATCAACGTAACTTCTTTTTTACTGTTACTTTTTGAGTCCTTTCTGAATAAAAGAATGAATTTGAATGGCAGTTTACATAACTTTTTTTATATATTTTTTTTTTTTAAATAAAAAAAGTTGATTTCCAGGTGAACTGATCCCAGGTTCTGTGTAGTCTTAAACGTTTGCTCCCCACTGTAAATGCAAACACGCATGCAAATATTGCCATCTAGACAGCAGTTGTTTTCACATTTGTGGACACACAAACACATGCAGAATTACACAGATGACACATTAACAAATGTCCCTTAATTAAAATTCATTTGTTATTTTTGGACCCTCTCCCTAGACACCTCTGTTCTATTTCAGGCAGTCATTATGGTTGCTTTGGCCTTCCACTAATTTTATACATCTAGAATATTAGTGCGTCTACAAAATATTAATTATGAAGCAGTCACACCTCCACCCGTTTGATGATCTCTAATGCAAATCGTGAGAATGCACCAGATGCGGTGGCCCACTCTGGATGAACCTGATGTAAATTCAAATGAATGATCTCCATGTCAATGACGGCCCGGATGACTTTGACTTTCAGCTCGAGGTTCATTGTCCTGACAGCTGTTCTATAAATGTTTTCCTCCTCTCCCTCCATACCTGTGTGGACTACAAACTGAGCTCAAAATGTACTCTGGGTCGCACAGCTTTTCTATCCAGATCAAAGAACCGAGAATCATGGGAAAATGAGTAAGCCGGATTTTTGAAATACACCCACCGCTTGCCTTCAAAACAGATGACTATGTAGTGCATTAGAGTATGACTCTTCCTGTGTAAAAGGCAATTATCATCTCTCTGTGCTCACTTACTGTTTCCTGAAAGGACGAAAACAACCTTTGTGATGTCATTACAGCTGCCAGCACATCCACCTGTGATTGGGCAAAGTGCTGTGTAGATTTAATGATTTCATCCTGTGATGTATTTATATCTAGTGGATTGGAGTGTTTGTGTTTCTCACAAATGCTGGGCATTTTCTCCTGATCTCTGTACTTTCTCTATAAATAGAGGGTGAGTGTATGGTTACTTGGGTTGATTTGAAATCAGCTGAGTTGTTGGTATTAGTCCACTTCCTTTGTAAACTCTTAGGCCAAAAACATGCTCTACGCAAGTAATGCAGATGAAAATGTTGGACATGCATTGAAATGTTGTCCATACATAACATGCATTCTTGCATGACTGTGACAACTGATGATTTTTCCATTGGCTTTTGGATTATTGCAGAAAATAAGCGCTGTTGTCAAAAAAAAAAGTCTGGCATTTAACCAGAAACCCATAAAAAAAATTTTTTTTTTTTAAACCTGACTGCAGGACAATGGAACTGGAAGTGGTAATGTCGCCCCTGCAGCACTCAATGTGTATTGCATCATGAATTGTGTTATGATAAATTTGTTTATTTATTTTTGGTGAATTTTTTTTTTTTTTTTTGTGGGGAGATTTTTTTGGTCATCTTCTCTTATGGGTAGGTTTAGGTATAGAAACATTACCTACCCATAACAGGGTTACATTAGGGTTAGGGTTAGGATACAGGATACAATGTGATGGCCACACTCATTCATCATAGACAAGCATTTAAAAACTGGAACGTTGTAGTGCATTTTAATTTTTTTTTTTTTGTTTTTTTTTTTTTTTTTTTTTTTTTTGTCGTCTTTATTAGGATAGGATAGAGGAGAGAGGGGGCAGGGGATTGGGGACGGGATCGGGAAAGGTCCGCAAGCAGGGACTCGAACTCGAGATGCCCGAAACGCAGTGGCGCTGTGTCCATGAGGCTATTGGAGCCTTCATTAACATGTTTTGTGCATTAAGGGATGTTCACACTAGCTGTGTTTGCATGGAACCCACAGTAATTAGGGATGCACAATATTGATACCATATAGGTTATATATTAGATTATTATTTTTTTTAAGCATCGTTTACATATATCAGTCAACGTTGGGTTTTTAATTGTGCAAAGTAATTTACCTATTTTTTTCACATGTTGATTACTTTAGCCATCATACCACACTATGTTAAGTCACAAAGTCAATCTTTAAAAATATAAATAATGTGATAAAACTGATAAATGTAATATTTAGCAAATATATTATTAAAAAAGTATATTTTTTATTTGTAACATTTACAACAATTCAAATTTCTAATTTAGTTAAAAATGTTACACACATACGCACGCGCGCACGCACACACACACACATACATATGCATATATATGTATGCGTATGTATGTGTGTGTGTATATATATATATATATATAGGGTGCAATTTGTGAAAAAAGCAGAGGGGGGATGCTTGAAATTTTTTTTTTCTCTCTCCATAGGTAGAAGGTAAGGGTAAGGCTATAGCCTAAGTACCTAATGTTAGTGTAATCTGTTAATAACGCACATCATAAACCCGTCTTTTTAGGCAAGTATATATTGATGGGTGTCATGTCATGAAATGTTTTTAATACGACGGAAACACAGTCTATTAAAAACATTGTACGTTAGGCCTATTAATTGTAATGATTTCATTTACACGGTTATTCAAGCAACGAATAAATCATATAGAGAAAGCGAGCAAAGAACACTGTATCAACGGAGCTTTTTGAAACTCCGAATCAGTTAAACCATTGAGTCGCAAAATTATTCACTGTTTCGAAGCGCTCCAGTCGGATCGCGTATCACGAATCATTTGATTTAGATCGGGACCTCGGAGCGAGATCACGGGATGTTTTTATCCTCACCGGGGATGAAAATAATTCAGCAGAGGCAGGGATGCATAAACGGAAAACACGGACTGGTTCGTAGAATCCAGTCATAAAAATGGAACTCCTATAATGCGGAATGTCACGGAATATGCCACATTTTGGATGATTAAATCAAAAGTAGGTCAGTACACTTGAATCAAAACGCGATATGGACTAGAGTCCGTGAATATTAAGCCGCAAAAAGACAATATATGTATCCTGCAAGTAATGCATGTCTCCGGTGCGGACTGGCCATCGGAAGAACCAGCCGATTTGGCCCGCTTTTTAAAAATATTTTTATTATTATTATTATTATTAGGCTATATAATTGCCTCCCGAGTGTATTAAAGCGATGATTTCCGAATTCGCCATTCGATAATAAATCTCTAATAAATCATGAATCGATTAGTCGCGACTGGCAATGCTAAGCTTCGGCTTGCGTGCTCTCTGCACCTCCGCCAAACGGTTTCGATCAGAGTAATCAAAGCGAGAGATTTTAGAATGGAGTGGAAGAACCCAGGTGGAGCAGAGAAGCAAAACTACTGTTCAG